CCTCCTGCGTGGGCCATGAGAAGACAAAGGCGTCCTCCTGCTCCGAGACAGTGCTGCTCAAAAAGTCTTCAAAATCCCAGTAAGTGTCCAGGTCATTCCCGTTAACTTCCAGTGAATTGTGTGGGAATGGCCATCCCTGGAAGGGGATACCTGGCACTGGCACAGGTGCAGGGGAAGGGGAGGGAAGAGGCAGGGCTTTGTTTGGCTGGAAGCTGTGCCCAGCCCAGGCTCTCCTGGGTGTCCCAGCACAGGGTGAGCAGGGTGCCCGGGCTGGGGCACAGCTCCCCAGGTTTTCCAGAACAGTGACCAGTGGCTCACTGCTGGAGCTGAGTGCCCAGACCCTGCCTTGGCTGCAGGGGCTGCACCCAGCCCTGCCCTGCTCTCACAGCTGATGTGCATTGACACCACAGTTCCCCTACAGAACAATCCTAAATAATTACTGTTTCTCTTCTTTCTCTTCCCTCTCACCCATTCCCAACCAGTCACTTCAAGTCAGAGGTTCTTGTTCCAATGAAAACCAGCAAACACTCATCTCACTGTGGAACTGGGCAAACTGGAGTTTGTTTGATCATGTGATGGAGGCAGCCATGTGGTCAGAGGTGAGTGCCCTGCAATCCGATCATCAACTGCTCTTAATTAATCCAATTAGGGCAGGCAAAAGGGAAAGGCACAAATAGCACAGTGACAGTACATGAAATGAATGAACCCAGGTCTTCTGCAGGAGAAAAACCCTTTCCCCAAACCACCTCTCCAGCTCCACGAGGTTGCCCAGGAACGTGAGAGAGGAAGCCAAGCATGGCTTTGTCATAACCCAACTCTCCAATGAGTTCAATGATGTTCAGCCAGGGCCCAGCTGTGGCCATGAGCAAAGGGTGACAGAACTGCAGCTCCAGGGCTCAGCACATCTCTGTTCCAGATCTGGCCCAGGCAGGCTTGAATGTGAGCAGAGCCCAGATGCTCCTTTTGTAAAGCAGAGGAAAATAATGCGAGTTTGATCCTGTTATCATTTGCACCACTTTGTGTGTGAGCAGGGAGGAGCTTTGCTGTTAGATCTGCTCGAAGGAATGTCCCCAAGGTGAGCTCCTGCTGGCAGAGCTCTCCTCCAAAGCACATCAAGTGAGCTCCCTCCTCTCATGTCCTGTGCCAGCCTCTGCTGATGAGGCTGTTTGAACAGGACTGAGACACGCAGAGGATTAACAGCAGAGACAAACGCGAGTGAGAGCCACTGCAGACTCCAAAGAGCTCATTCCAACAATCAGAGCTTTGGAAGAGCCCCCAGAGGGATCTGAGCTGTCCCCAGCCCCACAGCAGCTCATTAGCAGCACGATCTGCAGGCAGCAGGGCAGTGGAACAAAGCCCAGTCCTCACCTGGAATTCTCTCTCTTGCAGAACCAGAAGGGCTCTTTTCCTCTTTTCTGCACTTCAGAGCCAGCCAGCGCAGGACAGGAGGCTCTGCCCCAGCAGCAGCCCTGAGAGCAGTGCCCAGGGGCACAGCAGGGCCAGGAGCCATCCCTGCAGCGAGCTCGGGGTGTCTCTGGATCATTTCTGGATCATTCCAGCTGGGAGGAGGCTCGGGAAGGTCTGAGGCTCCTGCCCCACACCAGTGTACATTACCATAGGGCATCACCAGTGCTCCCAGCTTCTGTTTGCTGTACCTGTGTAGCTGTCAATGCACAAATGCACTGCACAACATCCACCCCACAAACCAAAGCCAGGCACAGCTTTACTCCCGTGGCAGCTCAGTTGTTTTTACAGCCTTCACCCCAGGCTTTGGCACTCTGGAGTTCAGCTGCACCAGGAGAGAACCTGCTAGAAACCTCCCTGTGTCTGACAGTAACACAGCAAGGTCTGAGCTCCCCTTCCAAGGCTGTAATTGCACAATGAACACTTGCTTAATAAAGCTGAGATTTGTTTTGTAAAGTGCCTCTTGGTTATTCATAGAAATCCGATGTGGAAATGGTCTGTTAAGTCCCTCCTAAAGCCTTCCCTGTGCATCCCAGACCTGCTCCTGCTGGTGTTTTTCTGGCAAAATGTTCTGTGGTAAATAAGCAGATTGTGGCAGAAAATCAAACAAGACATCTGACTTCACCTTTGACTATGAGCCTGTGTTTCTCTAATTTGCATAAATATAGGTATGTTGTACAGAGGGAGATAAAATTCTCCATTTCTCTGATCTGCTTATTTGAAGGAAGATCTCAGAGGGAAGTACTGAAGCCACGGCATGTTTGAAGAATTAACTGCAGCACAGATAAAAAGCTTTAGAAGACCCCACAGGAGGGCTTTAATTTGAACAGTGAAATTCAGCTTAAAGAGCTTGAATTGGCTAAAAGAAGAAAAAAAATAATGTCCTGGTTTCTAAAGCCCTCTGGAAATAAGAACCTGTGGATGTGTTTATTTGCACGGGAGCCTGATGTCTCTGGCCCCGTTTTCCTCCAGCCACTGGGCAGCTCTGGCCAGTCCAACCCACTCCATGGGGCTGCTCCTTTCCTTCAGTGCAGCTGTTTCCCAGAGGTATGGAAAATTCACTTGCTAAAAACAGGGGTATTGTGCACAGGAGAGCTGCAGTGGGAAATGGGGGTGGATGCAGCAGGCTGTGTGTGCAGAGGGGACAGAGATGCCCGGGGCAGCCCCTGCTCAGGAGCAGCTCTCGTAGTAGGCGACTTTGCTCTTGATGATGTCCCGGATCCTCCCCACCCGCTCCTCCAGCCCCGACAGCCGCGATATCCTGGACACCAGAGCCTTGTTGCCTTCCTGAATTTCCGACTCTAAAGCTGAGGAGAGAGGGCAGGGTTACGTGGTGGGGTTGGGCTGAGCCTCCATCTCACTCCTGCACAGCTCTGACGGGGCAGGAAAACCAACATCCTGCACTCCCTCTGCTCCCCACCTCTAAACCAGCCCCAAAACACCACTGCCATTAGTTTTGAGTGCCAAAAAATGGAAATGAGTGAGTGGAGGAAAATGGGAGCACAGTGGCACTGCAGGCAGGGCTTCCCTTCATGGTGGCACCCTTGAAAACTCAATTTCCTGGAACAGCACCACGAGCTACAGCCCAGATCCCACCCTCACTGCCCAAAGTGCATTGTCTGCCTCCTCACTCCTTTCCCTCACACCACAGCAGCCCAAGCTCTGCCCAGGGTGTGATGACATTGAGTTTGTGAGAGCCTTACTTTGCATCCTGAGCACGATGCCCATGGTTTCCTGGAGCAGATCCTTTGCCTCCTGGCTGATGTTCTGCACCCTCCTGCCCTGCTCCCCCAGCGCCGGGCCCTGCCCTATCCTGCTCTGCAGCTCCGAGTACAGCTCCTTCACCCGGGAAAAAGCCTGGCCAGAAGCAAACAAACACTGCAGGTGAGATCCAGGCTGTGGGGAAGGGGCGTTTCCAGTGCTGAATCCTGTTGGGATATTAAATGGAACTGCACCAGAGCAATGTGTGACAGTTTGTGATGCACTCCAGGACTGACAGACAGCTCCTCGAGCTGCTCTGCCTCGGGCAGGAAAACCCAGGAATGAGTTCCCAGCAAAGGGCATGAGGGCTGGGAACGACTCCGGAGGAATTCAGCAGCGGGATGATGCTGAGATGTGCCAGCACAGCAGCCAGGACCTGCACAGGAAGGTCTGGGCTCGCCCGAGCAGGGCACAGCTGGCACAGCTGGCACACCCCGAGCCCGTACCTGCTGGGCAGTGCTGGCCAGCTGAGCCGCTGTCCCCGCCGTGTCCCGCGTGTCCCCAGCCCGCAGGCGGTTCTGCTCCGTGCTCTGCTGCAGCTGCGAGAGCCGCTCGGCCAGCCCGGCCAGCCCGGCCCCCACGGCCACCACGTTCCTCTCAGCTGGCCCCAGGACAGCCTCGATCTGCGGGCACAGGGGTCCCCGTGAGCAGGGAGCCACGTCCAAACCGTCCCTGTGCAGAGACAGCTCTGCTGGCTGCAGCACAGGACGGGGAACAGGGCTCAGGATGGATTTTGGGGAGCTGCTGGGCATCCCTCACCTCCTCCAGGCGCTCCTGGATGAAGCGCAGCGAGGAGCCCGAGCCCCTGAGGGCTCCCTGGGCCTCCAGCAGCCCGGTGTTGGCTCTCTGCAGGGTCCCCAGCACCTCCTCCACGCTGCCCTCCACGGCATTCGCCCGGTTCCTGGGGACAGCAGCCAGGGGTGAGCGTGGAAAAGGGCACAGAGAGGAAGTTCAGGTCACAGAGGTAAAATCAGGGAGCTTGGGAAGCAAGAGAGGATTGCTACAGGGGAGGTTGCAATCTCCCACCCCCAAAACCCACAGGTCTGCACTCCAGGTTTCCTTGTGAGAGGAACATCAGCTCCACCTCACAGCCTCAGGAGAGATCAACTAAGAAGGGAAGAGAAACCGTCCTAAAAACTAGTCAGAAACGTTGATTTCATGGTGCATGACAAGGTATCAAAGCAATAAGCACAGAGGCAGTTCCAATGAACAGTTCCCTGCTCAGGGTGGGTGACAGAGCTCTGGAGAAAGCCAGGCTCCCCTGTCTCATCACTTCCAGCAGGTTAAGCAGGTGTCAGACACTGCCAAGGAGTTTACAGATTAATCCTGCTGACCTTCTCACTGGGGTATTGCTGCAAGTCAACTTGTGACAAAGCAGATGCTCCAAATTGGCAAGGACATCCTGTAATTACTTTTTAAGGGACCATGGAATAATTCTCCCAACTTTCACCCAGAAAACAAATAGCCCATTGACTCTCCCCATGCTCTCTTGTGCAATTAGGATGTAGGTCACCAATACCAACTAATACCAGGGCAACGCTGTCACCTCCCAGACAGGCTCTCGAGATAAGAGAAAAGCCTCCACTGCTTTTGATAAAGCCCTTCTTGTCCTGGTATCTATAACAGGATCTATTCTTGGGAGATTTATTCACCCTGGGTCCCCAGGGAGGTGTCTGGAGATTGCAGACTCATTATTTTAGACGCTGGATGGACACAGAAGATCCTGGCCTAAAACTTCAGATTGTGCAAGTCAGGACAGCTCGGGCAGAGCAAGATTTGAACCCAGCTGAGAACCACCAGTTCCACCCCAGCCAAGGGACCCTCAGCTGCCAAAGGCCTTGAACCCCCACCGACCTGGCCTGCTCTGCCTCCTGCTGCAGCCTCTTGGCCCTGGCCACGTCCTCGGCCGTCTGGGCAAGGATGTCCTCCGGGCACTGCAGCGCCGTCGCCAGCCTTTGGATCTCGGCCATTCTCTTCCGGACGGCAGCAGCGTCCGTGGGGAGGCGCAGGGACAGAACTGACTCACTGATTTCCTGGATAGAGGCAGGATCCGTGTCCTTGTCTGCAGAGCCAGCACACACACGGCATCAGGGCAGGTGGGAGTGCAAACGCAAGGGAGGAGGAGGGCGGCCACCCATGCACATCTCACACACATCTCCTCATTCCAGCTGCCAGGATCCCTTCTGAATTCACCTCCTTGAATTCCATGCACTTCTCATTCACACCAGCAACACTTCCAGGAAGCAGCCGAAGTGATGCCTTGGATTTGGCAACACCATGGCTGAGCCCAGAGCAGCCAGCAGCCCTCACTGAGCAGATGAGGATGTGTTTCAAGACAAGCCTTTTCTCATTTCACAAATACAAGTTAATAAATCAGAGGCAGGCAGAGCCCAAGGGACATTATCCCAGCGATTAGCTCAGAAATATCTTCACTCATCATTAACACCAGGCAGCACGAAATGACCTGGTTTTCTTATTCAGCTAATGCTCAGGAGGCTCATTATGTTATTACAATCTCTCTGTGAACAATAAGTCATCCCATCGGTTTGTAGGACAACAAGGAGTTCTC